GCTAGTAGTATGTACTTTTCTAACACCTTCAAACACTCTGTTTAAATTTTGGCTTTGCTACCGACATGCTAATATGTTGTTATCAAAACTGACTGAGATAACCTTAATGTATGTAGAACTATATTTATTGATAATGTACTGACTGGATGCAATATTGTAGTAAAATGCTGAGAATTCCATTCTGTATCACAGGTTCTGATTTGGAATAAAGCTTATCTTATCTTATCTTACTGATTGTAGGTAAAATATGAATTGGGATCACAACAGGATTGGAGCTACATGACTCGGCTCAACTAGTAAACTGTCTGATCTTGTAATTCAAAGGTTGTCAGACTTAAACCTGCTGCAACCCAGATTTTTATCTCAATGTAAATAAAATATTAATTTAATACTTTTTGATAATAAGTACCATAGTATTTAAAAGAAAAGAAATCTGAACGGAGGATATTTTAATAATAATATTATTACTGTTCCTTTGAGTTTCGAGTGGAACATACGGCTTCGTATTTTCTGTCATCTTCTTCAGCTGGTTCCATGATTGGTCAAACTGTCTCATCTCTTCCTCAGACAGTCTCCTCCACGTCACCACCGCATCGACGACCCACACTGTTCGTTTCCCATTTGGATTCCACTCTGGTAATAGCCTAGCATGAGACGCCATTTGACGGTCTCCTCAGTGTCATTCCGATCCATCTCCATTTTCTCCTACATAATGCTTGAGCAATTCTCTTTCGCCTGTTGGCTGGTTCGCACAGTTTCTTGTTACCTATTCTTTTCTCCTGGCCGTTTGATCTTCAGCATGCAGTCAGCGAAGACGGCTGTTTATGAGAGTCTGCAACCTGTTGGAAATCCTTTATGTGACGCACACGCAGTGCATGTTTCTGACCTGTATAGAAGAAATGACTTGACACTGGTGTTGCAAATCTGAATCTTGTTCCTTATGCTGAATGTAGAAGATCTCCAAACTGGTTTCAGGGTGATGAAGGCATGCGTATCTTGTCTTTCCGATTCTGGCCAGCTTTGACATCTTCATCCGGGCTGTCGCCTGTACTTGAAACGATGCTTCCTAGACAAGTGAAGGAGCTAACCCCTGTTATATTCTTAATTCACTTTTGATATCACTACTGCTTGACTGGACCAAAATGTTCAGCTTCATATGGAGCAAAAATCAAAACTGAATTAAAAACAGGTGATACTGATTGATGCGTGTTGAACAAGAGATGGCTCTCGTAGCCTGCGTGGTTTAGTGGATAACATCTTGGCGTTTGAAACGATGGTTACTGGGTTCAAGGGAGTCTGTGTGGGAAGACTACCACTGAAGCAAACATCGATAAGCTTCTGTCTTGTTTAAAATACAACTTTCAAAATATACAGATGTGCAGTTGGCGAAATCACTTCTTTTCACGAAGTAGCATCCTAAGACAATAACTGAAGTCTTCCTATCGAAGTAATAGCTTCGAAAGTAACAAAACTATGATACTATCCTTTAACTAAGTTAAAATTAAAAAATATTGTGGGAAGTACACATCAGGATGTTAAAGGGCCAAAAAGAACAAGAAGTTCAGCAACAAAGATATCTATCTTGTCAGTGATTTCACCTTCAAAATCTGTACAATCGTACTTCTTTTATACATAAGTCCACACAGTTACACAGTTATGATTAAATTCCTCGGAATAACTAACGAGGAGATTAAAGGTGATAATTATCTTCAACTTGATACGAAACCTTGAAGAAGTGAATGTAGATTACAAGGGGCAACGAAACAAAATTCCTTAGGATAAGAAAATAGTTTTTTTCAGGAATACAGGTGTGAACAGGAAGAGTATGGAAACAAATTTAAATAGTAGTTTTTTATAACTGAAATAAAAATAATATGAAGGGAATGGAGAAAACAAATACTAAAGAGTCACACTGAACTAGATCCATGGTAAGTGTAAAGGTTGGACTAGTTTCTTTTGAACACAGAGTGTAACAACAGAAGACAAGGGCCAGGCAACAGATCGTTTTATTATGAAAATCAACACGTATTTATACATCTTTCAACTACATTATTATAGACAAGCGCAGTCATCTGATTGGTTGTTTAGGTAGACAAACGCAGGCTTCTGATTGGTTGTTTCGGGATTCCTTGACAAATAGAGTTCTCTCTGCGAATCATATTCTGCCACGTTAACTTTGCTGTGATTGGTTGTTGACTCAGGCTTGTTCATATTTTCTCACGGCCCATATTAGTGACCTAGACCTTAACGTAGATTAGTGCCAACCAATCGGCTAGCAGCCTGCTCTCACCACACTCGTCCCCCCGTCAAATACGTGCGACTGAAGTCGGCTTGATCTACTTGGTGTAGGCGTCATCGTTGGCTTGTCTCGCTGTATCCATTTCTGGAGCTCGCTGACGTTCACGCGCCTCTTATTGTTCGCCATTGCGACTGTGTCTGCGTAACCCCATCTCGAAGTGACCATATATGGTCCTTCCCACTTTGGAAACTGTTTGCCTGACCCTGTCGAACATTCGTCCATACTTCGGCTCACACTTTCATGTGCTGCTTTCACCCGACCTCCCAGCAGCGTCCCAAGTAGCAGCTCCATCGCTGACAGATCTTGAACGCCACTCAACTGCGCAGAAGCCTTGAAGTCCTGCCCGAAGATCCATATGTCTCCATCAAAAACAGCAGGGCATAGGCTTTCCATTTGTCGGTAGGCAGCGACACCAAATGTAACAACAGAAGACAAGGGCCAGGCAACAGATCGTTTTATTATGAAAATCAACACGTATTTATACATCTTTCAACTACATTATTATAGACAAGCGCAGTCATCTGATTGGTTGTTTAGGTAGACAAACGCAGGCTTCTGATTGGTTGTTTCGGGATTCCTTGACAAATAGAGTTCTCTCTGCGAATCATATTCTGCCACGTTAACTTTGCTGTGATTGGTTGTTGACTCAGGCTTGTTCATATTTTCTCACGGCCCATATTAGTGACCTAGACCTTAACGTAGATTAGTGCCAACCAATCGGCTAGCAGCCTGCTCTCACCACAATAGTACCTGCTCTGTAATACACCTCTGGTGAGGACTTCTTCAGTACAAAGAAGTCGGGAACATATTGCCTTGGCTAGATTTTTGCTCATTCCGTAAATAACTCTAAATAATGAGTCAGTTAAGATGTTGTGACAGTTTTTGACGAGGAGTTCAGTTATAGCACTTCTGACCGTGAACCAGTGCCTCCTGTTTGCAGCCATGCTGGGTAATGTTCTCTAACACGTTTTGATGATAGGACTTGCATAGAACGACCTAGGAACCTAACTGCGGAGGGGAAGGATAACTGATATATGCACATTAGAGTGGCTATATAGAGGAGTTTGTCCTTCAGATTACTTAGAAGCAGTGAGATGCTAGAAAATATCAGTCTTAGTGCTGTTGCAGGAAGTCTTTTTTCAGGGTACTGCAGATTATCCTCTTTAAGGTATCTACTGATAAGTCTCTCGGGAAGTCCAGGTTCTTCTCTACGAAAATATGCCAGGTATTCATTTTTAATTTGTTAATCAGATAACGTGTGTGGGTGAAAGTACACCTCATTCGTTTTCTGTATACTTCTCGTCTTTATTTTTACTTTTTAAACATTTTCCGACTCAATTTGACACACATCTATATAATTTATTTATTCAGATATGTGACACAGTTAGGGAAACAGTGTTATCTGCTGAATGACGAAGTTTCGAACACAATTCTCTATTGTTCTTAATCACGCTGTATCAATTGCAACTACACAACTTCGCAACCTTCGTCTTATAGTTTCCTCTATCCTTTCCTATTCATCCTAGGGATAGTGGAACTTTCTAGATGTCCAGTTGGACAGGTGACGAATCATTCCTATCACACGTATTTTCAGTTGATTCGATAAACAAAGCTTCCGTTATCGATTTCTGCCTCCACTCTGTTATAGTAGATTTTAAGATTGTCACTTTATCCCATCCTATTGAATGGTTGGTAGTGTATATCTGAACTTACTGCTGCCATAGTTCAACTATTCTCTAGATTTCATATCTTGGTGTCTGTCCAAGCAATCTTGATCTTGATAAGTTTTAATGCTGGTCTGATTGACCCCGCTCGACTGCTTGGACCTATGAATCCGACTTGACGATCATTCCAGGGTATTAGATAAACTTAGCTGTCTTGCTTGGTGGGCTCCACAGGGTCCTTTTACCGACAAAGCTTGTTTCTAATTGAGTTTGTGGGTGATTGGATGCCACTTTTATTCCTTCCTGCTTTGTCAAAAATTCTGCGTAAGCTTTCGGAGGTTCCTTCTTTGTATGGCAGTACTACAGATTGTTTATATTCCCTATTTTGTGTGTTGTCATTATCCTGTGCATGTTTGACATGCATGTTGTCATTAATATTATTATTACCACTATCACTACTATTACTATTTATTTTATTTCAGCATTTCCCTACATACTTTCTGATTAATTCATCCGGGTAATTATTCAGGTTCAAAGACTCTGTTATATGCTTCACTTAGATTTTTCTTGGCGTTACATAGTTTTTGTGCCCTATTACTTAAACATTTCACCATTCCTATTTTTACTGACATAGGATGGGATGATTGGAAGTCCATGTATCTGTTTGAATATGTGAGCTTCCTGTAAACACTAGTGTTTAACTTCCCATCTTCTTTCCTTTTTATGCTACAATCTAACACTGAAATTTCCCCTTCCTGACTTTCTAATTCATAAGTGAATTGAATTGCTTCCACCTTGTAGTTTGTGTGTTAGAAAAATCGGTTTACGTCCTGATTTCTACGTACGATGAATGCGTCATCTATTCACCTCCAAAAGTATGGCGTTAACATTTTCCGACTCAATGTGATGCCCATTCCAACCAGTAAATTAGTCAATAACTGATGTATTATTGAGTTATTTCATGTAAAGACAGTACCCTTATTCTCTTCTTTTCAAAATATTTTCAAGTTTTAAATAGATTCACTACACCATTTTATATGATGACAGAGTCCAAGGTTGTCGACGATGATACACCATCTGATCGTGATGATACTGATGCAGAGAAGGTGTTAACAACCGGTGATGAAAGCAAATGCACTTTTGAATGTTACAGTTACACATCCAGATTGGTACCTGATTATTTAAGGCTAACACCAGTTGTAATTGATCAGAACAGTAAATATTTTGATGAATATTTCAAGGCGAAACAAGTGGAAAATTTTTGTAAACGAAGTCTGTTGAAAGAGGAACAACGATCAAACACGGTGACCAGCTGTCCACAAAACAATGCAATGTTGCTTTCGGTAAGTATTGAGGATCTTTTGTTTTGGTAATTCAAATGGTTTCCGAAAGAAAGCCAAATGTCACATTGGGATAGGATATTAATAGCTGAAATCGACAACCATAAACATTTATTATTATTATTATAACATTTATTACTTACGCATAACTGCTATGCAAACAACCACAGATGATACCAAAAGAGTATAAAAGACATTTGAAATAACTATTGAATAACAAGGATTTAATATTAATTCGTCTAGATAAAGGATCAGGCATAGTTATTTTAAATTGTGAGAATTACATCAACAAATTATGTTCCATTCTTTGCGACGAAGAAAAATCTTTTTAAATCAACCGACCACAAACACAGAATGGAAGGTATCAAGAATGAATTATCAAAAACTTTGAAGAAGCTAAAGGACAAATCTGGTATTACTACGTATTTGTATGAACATCTCAAGCCGTCTGGTTCAACCATCCCTCGTTTCTATGATCTTCCGAAGGTGCGTAAAGATGGTATCTCTCTGCGATCTATATTAGACATGGTGAACTTTCTTCATCATTCTACAGCAAAATAGTTTGCTGAGATCTCTGAAGCAGTAAAATCAAATCTGTGTAAACATAGTCTTTCGGATAATTTTGACCCTGTCAGTTGCGTTGATGGAATTAATGTGAAGGATAAGCATTTGATTTAGTTAGACGTTTGCTCGTTATTCACAAATGTACCTTTTTTTTCCTTCACTCTCCCCAGTATAACATAGGGCTTCAAGCTGTTGGCTTGAAGTTTCTGTAGCAGTGTTTATTTTACAGGATGGGGTTACTAGCCTCGCGCCCAACCTTTCCTCTTTACCAACATTATTTCTGGCTTAACGAGGTAAAGGAGTGCATTGGCGGCCGGGGATCGAACCCCGGACCATGTGGATGGTCGGCGAGCGTCCTAACCGCTTCGCCACCACAAATGTACTATTAGTGGAAACCATTTGTTATTTATGTGACTGAATTATGTTAGAATGTATAAACATTGGAGTACCAACTAATTATATGAAGCAGCTTACTCTTCATGTACGCTTAATATGCAGTTTAGGTTAAACAACACCATCCATAACGAAAAGGATGGACTCGCCATGAGGTCTCCATTAGGATCTCTCCTAGCGGATGTCTTTATGGTGAAATGAGAGAAGGATCCATTGAAGGAAACAATCTTGAGTTTACGTATGTATAAGTTATATATGGACGACACCTTCATTGTTTGTGATGAAAACTTCTCAGTTTCTGAGCTTCTTAGAGTGTCTAATAGTTCTCGCTCAGCTATGCTTTTCCCTATGGAAGATGAGTTGAATTCAATATTTTGCTTCTCAGAAGTGATGTTAGATAAAAGAGACGATGGCACATTAGAAATATGTCGATTTACCGGAAGCCAACATCTGCCGGTCGGTACACTAACTTCAACCTCTAGGCAGGAAGAAAAATTTGCTCTGTAGGCTCAGTCAACATGGAAATAGAAATCCTTCACACAACTCTCTTAAATAATGGATATCCTAGAAGGTTCATCGACATAAACATCAAGAAGGAAACCGTTCCCAGCTTTTTTTTTGATAACAGCTTGATTCCACACCGTATTTTTGGTACAAGTATGGAATTTTCAGCGTGGATATCGGTAGCCCAAATTTTGCAGGCTGACCATAGATATCAGGTGTGCGTCGGCGTGGGCTCGAACCTCGGACCATGTGCATGGTCGGCGAGAGTCCTAACCACTGTGCCACCGACGCTAAGTCACTGTGGCAAAGAAGATGCTGTCTATGAGTTTGGCTTTCATAGGTGACAATATCTGTGAAGTAATTAAAAGTTGTTTATGCATGAAACACTCCTTTTATACAGCTGGCTTACATTTAATATTTATCAGCCGAAACATGATTCGACAATGCGTCAAGGATAAACTGCCACTTATTTCCACCTGTATGTGCTTATCCTCATTCAAACGCTCATGTGTAGCCAATTACATTAGATGTTATATGTGTAATCTCTGTAAATGCGTAGCTGAACACCGTTTGGTTTGGTTAACGAAAGGTGAGCAAGGGACGACAAAGTCTTCACTCTGTTAACATCTTCTGAAGTCAGGTCATTCAGCCCCAGGCGATTTATCCTTCAAAGTTATCTACAGCACCAAATTCAATCACTCCTAAAGCTTACGTTTTCTCCAATTATGCATACCCGAAGCTCTAGCCATACATGGATATATACGTAAATTATGTGTTCCGAAATCCATTGTTAAACCCTTTTCTTTACCCAAATGTGAAATTGAGCAATTGAAGCAAAAGCTAAAAGGAATAGTTACCAATGGAGATTATGATCTTATAACACAATCCTCCAGCAATGCAAAATCAGCAACTTTCAAAAAGTCAAATCAAAAAGTTCAACAAATTATTAGAGGAGAAATCTTCGTCTCAGAATGATGAAGTCAACAATCCAAAGTCAATGGTGATCGATAAATCAAAGTGGGTTATCAGTCCCTCATCACATATATTAATTCCTACGGAAATAAGTGTATTAGAAAAGGGACTAAATTTCAATATATCAGTAGACAAGCTGAAACATGAAGATGTCATCTCTAAAATAGAAATAGCACTAAGTGGAATAGACAAAACAATGGCTGACAAAGTACTGGCACAATTTGCACTTACACTGAAACGACAAAAATGTTGAAAGCCTAACCTGACAAAACAAGAGGTAGAAGCCCTAAAGCACCTTAAGAATAACAAAGACATCGTAATCACAAAGTCAGGCAGAGGAAATGCAACAGTAGTATTAGACAAATCAGACTATTTAGACAAGGTAAATACTGACATAGAAACAGGACCATATGAAGAAATTCATAAATCAATAGACACAGTTATAAATAAAGTTAAGAAATCCACACCGGATCTTATACGCCAAATGAAGCCGTTTCTAGGTGAGTCTAAGTGGTTTAATTTAATGCCAAAAACTAATAACCCCAGTAGGATGTATGGTGTTGTTAAAGTTCATAAGTCAGGATATCCTATTAGGCCTATAGTTGATTTTAGAAATTTACCTACTTATGAATTATCTAAATATTTAACCATGGTATTAAATCCTCTAAAATGCCACTCGAAATCTAGACTGACCAATTCTTATGAACTAAAATACAGATTAGATTATTTAAAATTAGATAATGAAGACAAAAAATGGTTAGTTTTGACATTGTCAGTTTATATACACGTATACCAATGGATATGGCTATAGAGGCAGTCAGAAACGAACTCATTTCTGACCAAGAACTCGAACTTAAGACAAAGGTGCCACTTGAGGACATAATGCTTGGAGTGCAGCTATGCCTGACTTCCACAATATTTAAATTCCAAAGGAAAATATACAAACAAACTGAGGGAGTTGCCATGGGTTCAACAATATCATCGGTTGTAGCAGATATATTCATGGATAGGTGGGAAAAGATAGCGATTGAAACGTTCACCCCCACCCCAAAGGTATGCTGGAGGTATGTAGATGACAAATTCACTGTACTTATAACACAAGATATAGATAGATTTTTCGAACAAATCAACTCGAAGGTGGAGGCAATTCAATTCACTTATGAATGAGAAAGTCAGGAAAGGGAGATTCCAGTGTTAGATTGTAGCATAAAGAAGAAAGAAGATGGGAAGTTAAACACTAGTGTTTACAGGAAGCCCACATATTCAAACAGATACATGGACTTCCGATCATCCCATCCTATATCAGTAAAAATAGGAATGGTGAAATGTTTAAGTAGTAGGGCACAAAAACTATGTAACGCCAAGAAAAATCTAAGTGAAGCATATAACAGAGTCTTTGAACCTGAATAATTACCCGGATGAATTAATCAGAAAGTATATAGGGAAATGTAAAAATAAAATTAAGGATGATAGTAGCGGTAGGGATAATAATAATAATAATAATAATAATAATGGTATACGAGCTTGCCTTGTAACCGGAAGGTCCTGGGTCCGAATCCCAGTGGGTGCGTACTGCCGATGATTCCCAAAACTAGGATGAAACATCAGCTGTCCAGTACTCCCTGGTTTTCAATGGTCCTCTATCTGATATCAATCCGTGATCCACTCTTAAAAGATAATAATAATAGTGACAATAATAATATTAATGACGACACCAACAATAAGGAATCTAAATCATCAGTAGTAATTCCATACAAGGAATGAACCTCGGAAACCTTACTCAGAATTCTTAACGAGGTAGGAGTTAAAGCGACTGGCGTTCAAACCCACAAAGTCAATTAGAAACAAGCTTTGTCGGTTAAATAATACTGTGGAGCCTTTAAAACAAAACAATTTAGTTTATCTAATACTCTGTCAACAATGATTGTCACGTCAAATACATAGGTCAAACTAGTAGAACAGGGCAGTCAGTCAGACTAGCCGAGCACAAAACCTAGCAAAATCTAGAATGGTTGACCAAAATAAGATAAGAAATCTAGAGAATAGTTCAGCTATACAACTCCCTACATGCAGTTACACACAACCATACAATAGGCTTGATGGGATAGGATGACAGTTTTAAAATCTAATGTCACAGGGTATAGGGCGAGATTGATAACAGAAGCTTTGTTTATCGAATCAACTGCAAACACGTGTAATAGGAAGGATTCTACACCTGTCCAGCTATATATCTGGAAAATTCTACTACCACTACGACGACAGATAGGAGAGAACAAAGAAAACTATAAAAATCAGGTTTCGAAGTCGTGTGATTATAATTGATGAAATGATTATGAACAATAAATTTCGTTTGAAACTTTGTCATCCAGTAAATAATACTGTTTCATTGACTATGTGATACATCTCAAAAACAAACTAATATGGAATTACATACTACCACAGTGCCCAAGTTTTACACATATATTATTATAACCTTTTCTTAACCTTCGTCACAGTAATGTTATTTTATTTTATTCTATTTCCCCACTTGAATTTATTCCACTTCACTTCACCTTCGCCGTCTTTATTGTTTTCATCATCGCAGTATTAATTTTTTCAGA